TTGTTCCATTGTTGCAGAGGTCTTCCAGCTGGTCTGGTTCAAGGGACGGGGCCACCATCCGAGGATACAATAGCACTTTAATTTTTTTGTTTTTAAGGATGTCTTGCAATCAGTCTCTGTACGGTAGTTTTCCTCCATCTCCATCGGAGGACAGGGGCTCACAGCGGCTGTCCTGGAGCAGTTTGCTTCACAAGCTGACAGAGCTGAAGGGACACAATCAGAGGGTGACAGAAGATCAGTACTGCAGGAGTGAATCTGGTGAGTGTCATTTGATCGAACTAACACTGTTCAAGAATATATATGTATAATTTCTGTTTAAATGCATTTTGGAAAGAGAAACAGAGAACAAGAGAGAATGAAGTCTTAAAGTACCAAGAAAATATGCTTGTCAGTCTTTCTTCCACTTTGTTTAATGATTAGAAAACTTAAAAAAAAGAAAGGTGAATCCCACACTGCTATATATTCCTTACTAACTTGTAGCTACTCCTTTGTTTCAGGATCTATGACAGATCTGTCAGAGTTAGACATCAGCTCCTTCTTCTATCCTCTGGAGGAGACCTTGGCTGCAGACGTTGTGACTGCCATTGCACATAGTCTCAGTGATGCATCGCACACCAGCTTGGATTGCTCCAAACTCATCCTCCCTGACTGCCTGCTACACAATATCAGCCAAGAGCTGCTCCACTTGGCCGCGATAGAGCCTTGTGGTCTCAGGGGAGCGCTCATCGACCTGTGCGTTGACATGGGGAAACAGGACTCCCCATGTACTGTGGATCAAATAGCAGTAGATCCATCCCTTGTCCCAACTTTCCATGTGACACTGGTGCTGAGGGTGGAGTCCAGTGGACTGTGGCCAAAAGTTCAGAAGCTCTTCAAAAGTAGCAAACCAGCACAGACATCCTCATCGTCTCCGAAGCACCACGACACCCTGAAGCTGAGCACAAGTTTCAGGGCTATCAAGAGGAAACTGTACAGTTCAGCCGCACTGCTGGTTGAGGAGTGCTGATCGCTGAGCACTCCTGTCTCTGATAAGCTGAACTCTAAAGAAACTGTAAAGAAGCTGCTAATTAATGCAAAATCTTAACAAAAGCACTCTCGAGACATAACAATGATGACCTGTCTGTGATGATGTATGACGGGGTTAATACTGAACTACCTTTGTCTCATAGCAGCTACTCATGTGGGTGCAGTGAAGATTAGTGTTTGCACATGGGTCAGTTTCATTCCTGTGAATGTGAAGCCACACCTATAAGGGAATGCCTTATGTATGTGACATTTAAATATACCAACGGACACTCGTTTTGTATTTTTTTTTTAACATGAGAGAATAAATTATTTTTTTATTAACTTTTTGTGTGAGTTTTATCTGTCTGTGTCCCATATCCACACAAATTCATACATGCTATGTACTGCAGTGCTGAGACAAAACAGTAAAGCAGCAGTATGTTGTATTTTATTTCTCTTGCACCAACCATTCAGTTATGTTACTGCTGTAAACAGATACTTCCAGCAGTTTTCTTAGAGTAGTCAGTACTTAATGACTTGACATCAGGGGTGTTAAACATGAGGCCCGGAGTCCAGAACTGCCCACCAAAGACTCTACTCTGCCCTTTGGATGGCATGGGAAATGTGAAGGAAGATATCAGTTTTAGACTCTATCTCCCTCTTGGCCATTATACACCAAAATAATTAAGTACATAAATCACAGAAAGTGGGTTTAGTTTTTTAAAAAAGACAAAAAAAGGAGAAGTATTCTGTCAGTTTTTTAATTTGTAGTCACAGGACAGTCTGCACAATGAGCTAACAGAACTTTTTCTATAATTTTACACATTTATTTCTTGCAATTGAATTTTTTTTATCATGTAGTAAAACTGAGCTATAATGTTGAAACGTCACTTGTTTCCTTATATTAAAATATCTCATGGCTTACATGTGTAGTTAAACTTTACACCGACAGAAAGAGGTGTTTCACTGGTTCAGCCCACTTAAGATCAAAGTGGGCTGTACGTGGCCCATAATGTAAAATTTGTTTGACATCCCTGCTCTACATGGAGTGGAGTAGTCAACAGGTGTAGTTAATGAAGTTAACCAACTTATCTTGAAGAAGAAACCTTAAAGATAACAGGGGAAACTGGCAGACACCAGTAAAAGTGAGATAGTACTGTCTGATAACGGTTATCATAGGAAATGTGTGAATGTTCAACAGTAATATTCAAAAGTCTTGAGGAACGCATCAGTTTTAAAAATGTTGTTTCCAACAACTTTATACATTTTAAAAAGGTTTTAAGCATTAGTTCGCCAGGTTTACTAAAAATCTTTGACATCGTTCAAGCATAAGAAAGGCACTTAACAGAATGACAAACCTTTAGTTGAACCTACAAAAAAAA